CCGCCCACGATCATGCTGTCGGCACTGTAGGGCTGACTCTGTCTGTAACATGTATCGAGGGAATATCTGACTGAGTCTTGTGACTGGATCATCGAGCATCCTCATTTCGCTATGACGTCTTCACTGTAGATCAAAGGATGAAAAGAACGCTACATGGATTTATATATCCTCTGTCCTGGTGAGGAACAAATGGCATGGGAAGAAAGTGGGCACGACGATGCTGCCGAAAGCGATCCAGGATGTAGGTCTTACTCAAAACAACATCACCCAGACAAACGCTAATGCGCTCGGGTTGCATCGTAGATACATAATAGGTGGCCTTCAGCGATTGGGGTATTCCTTGTCATGAATCCCAAGGACGAGGCTGCCGCGATAATTTACGACAGATCCAATTTAACTTTTGCTACTGGTAAGCAGCCTGTTCACCAGAGCAGGATCCATATTCCCTACTACGGCTGATAGACATTTGCATAGAAATTCCGTTACGGAATTCATGCCACGGATGGGGAGTGGCGGATCGGTGTGGTTGAAGCACAATATAGAAAATGAATACTGATGGTTGTTAATTCAGCCATCAGTTATCGTTCTACAGTCGCTTCTCTCACTCTAGGATTTCTCGTCGTCTTGAATATTCCTGTTGAGGCCTTTCAAAATGTCAGTGACTCCGGCCGGGAATAATGTCCTGCTCTACAAATACCCTCCCGAATCGTCGTGATTGTGATGAAATCGCACGATACCCAGAAGATATGCTATGGATGGTCACTAATCTTGTTGTCATGACGTTAGATAGATTCTTCGTGCGGGTTCATCGTTATTCTCACTACGAGGAATGCTGTAATGGACCATGCTCTACTAGCCCATCATTAAGGGGATACTTTTTATCATGAATCGTGAAAAGTTACAGTGATAAATGCGATCACCAACCAGCCATTTCAACTCTGAGTTATGATGTTATTCGTAAGGCGAACTGTGGAACAATTGTCAGCATTAGTTTGTTACTACAGAAAGAAACCCCAGAAATAAACCGTGTATTTGTGCTCTCATAATCATGTTATAATTAGCGTGATAGGTGAAGCAGCCAGGGACGATATCCAAATCGAGCATATTGATAGTGCTGCGTAGACGCTGAGCAGAGATAGTTCTGCACGGCAATCTCCACGAAAAACACCAATTTCGATATTTTCCGTAGTGATTCCCGTCATCCGTTGCAGAGATGAACAGAATGGCCGTAGAGAACCCGCCGTTCATCTCAGTGTAGACGGAGTCAATCCGGTATGTCACCGCTGGCAAGCTCACTTGATTCTCTTCTCCCACACTGCAAAGCAGTAGTCGCCAATGTACATCCCAGGAATTAGGACACTCACAGTGCCCAGTGTGGAAACGACTTCGACATCAGACATCGACCAATCATCGTTCAATCACCTCCACTAAGGAACCATGAATCATTCTACCAGTAGTCCGAGAGAATTGATGAACACTGACCAGATATGATGATAATGAATTGAACTGCATTTTACTGACAAAACATTGTACGCTACTGTATCAGGGGTGCTTCTCCAGATCGAGACAGCCTGGAGCCAAACCTGAGCATTTCGCTCCTAATTTCTCGAACTGGGAAACTCTCCACTGAAACAAGAACAAGTCGTCAATAGAGCATCAACATGTATGGCGTTTCATCGTGCTGCCCCCTCACCTGAGTATGTGCTTCAATAACAGGTATAAAAGCTTGCCTTCCGAGCAGCTTATATGCATTGCGGAGAATTATAGTGAGTGGCTTAGTGAAGACCGGACCTACGCCAGGCTTGTCTGCGCAAAATAGGTCCTGCCCGAGCTCGAGACCCATACCAAAATCTCCTGAAATGTGAATGAAAATGATAAGTGTCACCGCAATGAGCCAGGCTCACCCTCGTCATTGCCTATATTAGTCCATGTGAATATCTCGTCCAATTTCGAGGTGTCTCGTTCGCCTGGTGGTGCATCACGAATCTTGTCCAGGATTCCTTTGAGAGCTTTAGAACTGACTGGAAGCTCCCGATAGCCGACCTGACACATGTAAACGATAAGATCCCATCCCTCAGCATGGCTCGAACCACCTCAGTGTGTTTATCATAGGGGACCAATACACCCAAACCATTGAAGGTCGTCCCTTGTGCCCGCCTCATTCGGCTCTTCCATGCAGTGGTCGACACCTTCAACTCGGCCTTGTCGTGACATAATCTGACAATGTGGGAGAATATGCAGATGACCAACTACATGTGTTGTTTGCAATACGAAAATTTTCTACCCGAATTCGTACATAAACTAGCGAGAAAACTCCTGAGCTCAGCAGAGAAAAGCGAACATACATTCCAACACTGCACCTTGTGAGCGAAAGTGTAGCTTACTGGTGGCAGAGCATTCACTGTCAAGATGATGAGCTCATCTTACGATTCGATAGCAGCCACAATTCCATCGCCCTTCTCATGATCTCTTGCCATATCATAGACAAGGGATAACACAGAATCTGATGCAGCCCGGAACTTGCAGTCATTGGCACGCGAGGCAACCAACACCTATTAGGAGGACGATACTCGACCGAGTAGGACATCACAAGTCAACTACGCTGATTGGGGAGTCGCCAGGCTTGTCGATGTAGTATGCCCAATGGTGGCCTAGATCCTGCAGGTCTATCATGATCGTGATGACCTCTGGCGGGTCGTAGAAATACCGCCAGGCACTCTGTGCTGAAAAGATACGTCCGATCATTCACTCGACTCTATTAGGCTCACACGCAACTACAATGCGAAAGACAACTCCATAATTTCTCGGTTGGAAAATACGCCTCCCACAGCCTACACATATCAGTCACAGTCGCAACCTCCTGGAAAGGGCCCACTAGCTTCAGACCAATACTCTCGAGTGCAGCGCAAGGGTCGCTCGAGTTGAGCTTGTTACAGACCTCCCAAAGTGTAAAGAAGGAGTCGGGCACCTGAGCCGGCCCCATCACACGGTTGGTCGCCCGGTTTCGCCCACCTCGATGTGGAATTTGTTGCGAATTCTACTGATGGTGCTCTCGTATTTCCTCCCCTCCTTCTTGGGAGCCTTAGGGTTCGATTTTCCCTGCGCTTCCTCGCCTGCAGAACTGATCTCGCTGCGATGCCGCTTGGTGGCCGCCATTTGAATACAGCTTGGCTTCAACGAAGTGAACAGCCTAGCAATTCAAAATTTGGCATCACATAAACTACCAACGAAGTACGAGTGTCATTATCAGTTACGAAACTTGCATCAGTCGCTTCATGCACCACTGAATTGAACCGCTATATGAAACTTTGAATAGCAGGTCAAGTAGAGTCTCATTGAAGAAATTATTAATCTTGCCAATTCATCACCCAACTGCACTGATCAAGGTCCTCAGCCTTTCGCTACACCACCGAGCTGATCACGCCCACCGCTGATTACGCGTACGAGATGAATTTAGACCTACGTTCTTCCAAACTGAGGAAAAGCAAAAGGGGACAACCATTTTCCGGCGGTCCTCAGCAGAATGCGGAAAACTAGCAACAGCGATTACGGTTCCACTTTTCTATTGCGGACTGATTCTTCCAACGTTCGAAATTATCCCTCATCCTTGAAATTATCGATCAGCTCCATCACCTCCACATGAGACGTTTGATGCACTCAAGCGAGCCTTCGCATCTAGTACCACCTGAAGTAGGCCAGTAGAATCCCGATTGACTCCAGATGATCAATAGTAGGTGTAATATGTTACGGCTGGTACTATACTGGTAGCTCTGACCTGCGGTCGGGTAGTCTCAAGACCTGATGTACCGAATACCACGGCTAGGGGTGTATCGATAAAACCAGCGAGACCAATCCCCCTACCCCACACAGCTGAGATTATCACAACACAAGTAAGCTTGTGGAAGGGTGTATAAACGGGTTTTTGATAGTGACGATACGATAACAAAAAAGGGTTGATACCAGGAACGTGGAGAATCGATAAAACCTATGCATACAGTCCGCTGGTCCGTTCAGCTTTCCGACTGAGGCGCACCTTCTCCGCAATATCGTCGAAAGCTCTGAGGAAATAACACAATGGAGTTTCACCCGTGATATGAAAAAAACATATTTCACGACAACTGCATATCACCGCGAGTATCGCGTTTTTCACGGAGTATTACGCCACTTCGCGTGAAACGGGTGAAAGTGTACAAATGTAAATAGTATCATCAGTCCTAGCAAAAATCATCGACTTTAGTTTCTTGTGCTGATTACTGGTGACCCAATGAAAAAATAACGAGTACACCTCGTCCTCTTACTTCTTCTCAGTCTGCAGGTCATCATTACGACATAGTGGACAAGTATTGTGTCGTTCGAGCCACTCCATAATACAATGGTCGTGAAATACATGCCCACACTCTGGCATTTTCTGATAGCAAACGAAAACACATCACAAATGCTCGGAGCCTAGATATGATAACAACTCGTCACCCAGGCTCGGTAGGAGAAAATGCACATAGTAAATTGCATGTGAAAATTCTGAGGAAATTCTCATTGGCTTCTGTACACTTCTATGCGAATTCGTATGTAAACTTCTATAATCAGTGAGGAAACTTCTGGACTCAGCCGAGTACATATATTCCTCCAACACTGCGCAGCCCCTCACTTACCTTAGCCTTAGAACCCTGCTTCATCTCCTCCTGGCACATCACGCATAGCTCGTCCTCCTTCAACGTGACCATACGCAATTCGTTGCGTGCTGAACAAAGCCAAGGTGTCCGTAGTGCTCCCCGATCAACATATACCATCTCGACTTGCCGGAGGAGCCCCTTGGTCGCCTCCCACGTCAGCCATCACAGCTTGAAGATCATCCAAGTTGATACCCAGCAGGTCCAACAGTTGCTGTTGCTGCTGGTGGCCACCACCACCTGAGGCGAGCTTCCCAGCCACTCTATTTCAAGACCATGCGTACTACGTAGTGGATCAATTCAATGCGATCATAAACGTTCGATGGGGGAGTAGCTCCATCCTGCTATCAATAAGGAGCGACGAGCCGCAGAGTGTCTCGAGTGTTGGAATATATTTAGACTTTCCTCAGTTGAGCTTAGGAGGTTCCTTACTCATTACATTACTCAAAAGCCAATACAAATTTCTCAAAATATTGTCACCAACACATGTGCATATTTTCCTCACTTGCCGAAGTACTTCTAACTGCTGCTCGAACTCGGTCCTTCGCCTTCGCTTTAGATTCCTCATCAGATTCCTCCAGCGCCCGAGCAGCCCACTTGTCACACTCCGGTAAAGTGACATCTAACACGACGCCACCCAGATTCTGTACAAAAAACAGCGGAGCGATGCTTGCCTGCCTCCCCACACGTAAACTGCATGTTGAGAAAGAGTTCCAGGCCCGCTTGCCAGTACACAGCCGCGCTGAACCTCGTGTTTAGGACGGTGAAGGCTCGATGGCACACTTCGACGAAGGCCGGGTCCTTGATAGTTTCGCTGTCGTTCGCCATCTCCGATAACTCTCCTAGTGCGGAAATTATCGCACTCTTTGATGACAAATTTTTGCGGAGCTGTGCTAGACGCACATGATCAACAGACATTATGAAAACTGAGAAACCGTTGATATTGTTCCGTCTCCACTCGGGCCTAGAGAGATTTGAAACGTCAGAGTATGCATTCGATATTCACTGGTATCAAAGGCGGCTCTTCTGGCCGAGCATTCACGGGTAACCTGATAGAATGGGATATGATTCCCCTGCTCCTACTAGTACTACTAGTACTACTAGTACTACTAGTACTACTACTACTACTACTACTACTACTACTACTACTACTACTACTACTACTACTACTATTACTACTACTACGTGTCGGACGCACGGTGTAAACCGGTACGAAAGCTCCTAGGAATAAATCCTAACAGCTTTCAGATCAACATTGCGGCACGAGGCAAGCAATGAGATCAATACATCCTTTTCATGTACCCAGTAAAGGGCCTCCTAAAACACGCCTCACGATATGCATAGTACTGATACTAGCA